TGCCCTAGAGAACGCTGATATCGGCCTATCAAATAAAATTATGACTCCTAATTTACGCTTTAACATTCGTAGCGAGCCATATAGATTAAATGAATTATATGAATAGGGCTAATTAATACAAAGTTTGATTCCCAACTATACTTTGCATTGGTAAAATAAACTAAATTTGAGTATACTTTATTGAAGCAAAGTTCAATTTTTTGGTCAGTTTGCAGTACAAACAGCGTTTATTCGGTCTTTATTTGACCGATACACAATTATAACAAACTGACATACAATGACAATACTAAAGCTACTCATGCTTATATAACACCTAATTAAAATTACTCCTGATGACCCGATTGCTTATTTAAAACTAATAGACAAAAATAAACTAGCCAATTAAAATTTTTGAAAAAATTCTGTTTATATACATAAACCACGCCCTCCTACCGAGATCATTTAGCAGTCGATGAATGTGTATGGGAGACATCTCACGGTGTTAATATTTTTTGAAAACAAATAATCTAAGTTCTAAATTTTTGCTGAGTATGTGACTAACTAGGTTATCGTGGTGGAAGATGGCGTCGTCTTTTATTCATGAGTTTCGTTCGATTTTCTTCAATGACTCGTTGTAATCTTGTTATCTGTTGACAGTAGAGATCCAAACCAACTGTTCTGCCAGGTAGCAGCAGCTCACAGTCAATAATTCCTTTTCGATTTCATCACCTTGTTGATTGAGGAGCACATCTTTCTTTTTTTTTATTTGCACATTATCGTTGTATGCAACCCATTTTCGTTACCTCCAATCAACTGCTTTAGAAATGGGAATAGAAATTTTTGCGCAGTTTTGTTGGTAAAAATGAAACCAAACTAATTCTTTTTCACAATTCGTGTGGCATCTAAACGTCGAACTTTTTTTTTTTTCTATAACCAGCTTCCTTTAAATGTTTCAGAGCTCTTTAGTGGTGGTGGTCTATTTCCTTGGCAATATCACAACTGCTCACGTGACGGTGTTCCTCAATCTTTGCAATCACTTTCATCAAGTCTGATTCAAATTAACCGATTACTATGAGAAGTGCTTCCTATATGAGAATTTCCAGAACGATAGCGACGGAACCATTATTGAGCCGTCTCTTCTGATGCTTTATCCTGATCATAAATGTCACACTTTTTTATGACTTAGAACATCATTTGTGCCTTTACCGTAATAATATGGTTAAATATAGCGAATTATGCACAAATTTCACTCATCTTCAAAGAGCTCTACTTTGCATCTGAAAAAAGGAATTCCGGGGCCTCTAGGATATATGTATGTTTATGAGCTGTAAATAAATGAAGGATTACGTTTGCATGATCTTTAACAAATAGTTATATTCAATATGGTACGACTCTTCACTTTAATCACAATTTTGAATCGAGGCCTAAGTATCTCACAGACCGCTTTCAAAGCAAATTTCTGAATCATGGCTGTGGGTAGCGCGATGCTAGTACGTCGTAACTCAAGGAGACCTCGCTAAGGCATACCACGTACAGAAAGACCAAATCTAGTAAATTTGAACTTTAGGATGACATAAAGGTAAAAGTCTTCAAAATGCAAAGATCCTAGCACATGCAAGAAGGCACAATAAGTCGAAAAGGGATTGAACGTTGTAGCGGACGTAGTGACCGAATGTGTTAAATTTCTGCATGAAGTTCCTTCAATCTGATCCCATCGTGGATCCCAGTTTAGTGCATCAGCTTTTACTTCATTCTTTTTCAATCACCAATAAGCGCACCGGTTTTATAAGTTTATAATCTCGGTAGGATTATTCCGGCGTGAGGGCATTGTAATCCTTCCTCTTGTTCCGAAATTACATCTCTTGTCTCCGTGGGGCTATTCTTGAGAAACGTGGCTTTTATGATGAGAAACAATCAATCAAAACGTGTCAATTTACACGTTCCATTTATGTGTACGTCCACAACTTATGAATACCAAATATAAATCGTACCTCACGATGAATGCGAACATGATGAAGTTTATATAAGCATACCACATATTCTATATCACATACCTATTCACAGCCGACAAGTTGTCGATAGGTTGGTTATCCCGGTAGTACCTAGTGTCAGATACGAGACGCACGCAGAAAAATACATCTTGCGTCGACGTAGACATCGATAATGTCTATATCTACCTCTAGCGAAGACGTCAGTTGATTTTAGCTCCGAATTAGCAAATGACGGTGACATTGTTTGCTAGACCAACCAGCTGTGTTCGAGCAGAACTTAGATTCAACGCATCACCTCGTGGTCTAATAACGTTGGGCGTACCAAAATACACTTGGAGCTGTTTACATTGAAGCTAGAATAGGCAACCGCACAGGCTAATTTATTTCGTGCTAGATTGAAGTTCTATACTCATGTGTCTAAATCAAAATTACAACTTATCGACACATACTCCAAATTTTACGTGGTTCCAGATCCTAACATATCTACTTTTTTATTTATTATTATTTTACTATTTAACTTATCTATATATGTATATATATATGACAAACTTTTGTAGGTGCGCGCTTGTAACGCGGACGCTGGTTCTAGCTTAATAAGATAAACATCACTTAGAAAGAGAACATGCTGTTATTGAACAATGATTATAATTACTGTACAATATATTGGATTTCTACATTTCGAAAACTGTAGGTATATCGGCTCTGTGACCTCACTTAAACAGATGCTGTTTTCTTTACGAAACCTTTGGCATGGATAATATTTGAAAGTTATACTATTCCTGGTAGAACATGAATAGCAGCCAAAAAAAGAAAAAGAACAGATATAAAGGCCGATCTGAATTACATATACAGATAAATACATAACCCGTAAGAACGACTTTAAGGCAAAATGTTCACTTCGTCCATTTACTGGCAAAGCGAATTCCAAGTTAAGGCGGTTTCTTCGAGGAGTATAATTTTATTAATTCTCTATCCTACATTACCAGACATGTTGCCAACTTAGATATTAGCTATTGTGACAAAAAAAACAGAGGCAAGTAGACATCCAACGAATACTGTTTTATTTTCGCCAGGATTGAACATGAAGATGCGTCTCTTAACAGTTCGTTTACAGATCACAGCGTTTGTTAATTGTTCGACAGATATTCAATTTTTCGAAAGAGAGCCGCTTCTGCACACAGATCTACCACAGATGCTTTCAATTTTCAAGCTGCTGCAGCGGCATCAGTAAGCGTCCGCGAATTTTGCCCCTTATAAATGAAACCCTTTAACGACAGCGCTCGAGACGATTTCCTTTTGCCTGACACTAACATATATATATATATACTAGCCAAATCGACAGAAATGAGGAACGCAATCTGAGCTAATTAACTGGATTCGAAGTCGCTAGTTTTTATGCCAGAATCGTCAGCTTTTTTTTCCAACTTTCAGTTACTAATTAGAATTACGCAGTGTAAGTCTGATTTTGTTTTGAACGAATACCAACATAAACTTATCTAATTATATGTGGAAAGCAATTCCGCCTTTGTTGTCTGCTTTGTTTGGAGACGAAACGCTTCAAGGGGCTAACGGATTAAGCAACATAGCACTCGTTCTATAGCCACCTAATAGCTAGTATAATAACAGAAACGAATTTATTTCAACACAGGGGAATATATAGAAAAGTCTTCTGCGTATAGAATTTTTTATTTTTTTTTGTATAGAGAAAAACAGTCTTTAGCGACAGCAAATACAGAGAAAACTCCAAAATATGTTCGAGAATCAATAACAGCAGTCTACTTGCACCAAACAGAAAATGGAAATGACTGCTAAAAAAAGTGTGCCGAGCTTCGTTCAATTCTAAATCACGGTCAGTCTTTCGAGATTATAAAGATCTTATAATAATATAACATTATAAATTATAATATGGCCCGATTCATTCAGTTATATATCTGACTTCTTTTCTGCAACGTCGAAGCATTACTTTACTATCCACTGAATTATCCATCAACAGTGGTGCGCAAGCAGTAAAAACAATGAAGAACATGAAGGTCCGCTCGCTCGCCTTGTACTAACCCCTGTAAGCTATTAAAACTCTTGTCCCAATATTGTTGGGCGTAAACCACACATTTATCTGTGTAGTGTCAAAATAGAAAACGATATAAATGTTGAGTCCTCCTTCAGGCCGCGTATGGTGAATTGGTCCCACGGTTAATTTTACGACTAAACCCGTGTCTTATTGAAGCTGATCTTCTCCATAAGATTGAGCCTTATGGGGAAGTCGTAGCATTGTCGTATAACTACGTTGTTTTTCGAAATCTTAATTTGCCAGCAGCAAAAGAGTAACGTGCGGGGCAAAAGAAAAAACCACTACGGAACATTACGCCTGTAGAAAAATCTAACCCCTCATGAAGCCCAAACATGAAACTTAGTAAAGGCTTTGCATAGTCATACAGTAACTGGTATCCCTAGTGCACACGCATGGGCTCCTGCTATGACGAAATGACCGACCGATCTTGCTAGCAATACGCAACTCGCGCAACGGCACGAAGATATGGCCGCAGTCCAATCAAAGGTTCTACCAAACCCCAAATATCTTTCTAAGGCTCTGGCTAGCACGTTCAAAAACGAGAAAAAGTTCACTCTGTTGGCTTATGAAGATTAGATACTAATTATATATTAACGACGTTCAAGCAATCTGCGCTTTCGTGCTGGCAGAATTGCAAGTGACTGTACATCAGATCGTATACATATACACTACCTTTGCTTACACGGGCGATTTCGGTGTACGCAATTTTACGCTTTGTGTGAATGCTGTACTCAAACGGTGTTTCAAAATCGCCAACCTGTGCGTCTCCTCTCGCTGTGCGATCAGTGCACACTTACACACAGAGACAGCTCCGTATTACAAACAATGTATAATTTGTAAAATAGTTTTTTGTTGCAAGGTTGAGCACCCTGCTTTCATGTTGGTCTGCATGAAGCATTGTTCTGCTACTAAATAGACATCGTAATAGTTTTATGATACATTAAATATAAACGAAAACTTACTTTAAAATGGAAAGATTTCACGGACCTTTTGTCTCGTCTTCTCGATCGCGGCTGCAGGGGGTGTTGATGTCGAGGTAACGTATGTATGACAACTGGCGAAGCTATTCTATTCACCGGGCTAATGACTAACAATTGTAGCTAGATGCGTCATTATAATTCAATTCATCGAACAACGTTCATAAAAAATACAGTACGTAAACTTCCACACAAAATCACAAATTAGGCGAGGACTTCTTATCGTTGTTCTTCCTACGAAACTTTTTGCCTCACGTTCTTTCTTTACAACTGTACATCTATTCGGTGGCGCGATTCACAGATAGCGCGCTTGGGAATAACGGGAGCACTAAATAATGATTATCCAACAGGTCGTTGTTGTGTAACGGCTGACGACACCAGTCCAGCTTTTTCCATCTAAAAGATGCTACTGGGAAGCTGAACCCACTCGAAGTGACGGACCATTGACGGCCGGTGGGCTTGTTAAAAATACTGAAGGATAGATTTATTATATCATTACCAAGCCGTCGTCTTTCGTTTTTCTCTCAGTTATCAATACCGAATCTTCCCATTGTGTTTTCTCTTTTCGGCGGACAAAGACTTCGTGCTTCCTTTTTCCGTGTGTTCACACAACTGCGTCCGAACCCAGAGCAGCCGCTGTCTACATTACAGAATTGCCTCTCCATGAAACATAATCGCTCTATGACTGAACACTCTTCTAGCACGCACAGCACAGAATACCCCTCTCACTGGGTTAAATATGTCTCTCTATAACTGGCCATGCGTCAATAGCCTCATGAAGGAACAGCTCAAAAGTTGGTCAGCCGGCAAACGACAGGGTGTGATATCTCTGGCAGCCAACGCGAAGCCTTGGAGTCACCGACGCCCGCGTAAATAACCATTCTTCCGACGTACTTGTTATATAGTTTCAATCTGTTTGGCCCTTACCATTTCATCGTATCAATGTTTGTATACATCTTTCCCGGGCTCCTCTCTGATACCGTTTTTTCGACTGGATCGATATCGTCGGTGTAAGTAACGCTTCAGTATACTGTTTTCCTTGTCATTTTGTTATCGCCTTGAGAATGGCGGCGGACACCGGCTCAATAAGGCAGCAAATTGCATAGCGCTCCTTTACGGACCGCTCCGTCTGTTAGTAACCACGATTCCTAGAAGGGGGGTGGACCATTCGACTGCACCGAACCTTAGCAACGAAACTATGTTCCAAAGCCGCACGAGGTCGTAGTCGCCAGTTAAATGTCGTCTACATTCCTACAGTGACATCGATCCATCCAAAATCGAAGCAGTTATTTTATTCACTGCAGTGTTTTCAATGTTTTTTTGCCGTTCACCAAGATTGTATAATCTCAGCTGTATCGTTTCATCAAATGTACTCTGTTTCCTAGCTCAATTTCGTTACGTAGCTAATTTTGCCGCGTCGTGAACTCCTCCTCAATTCATCATCGGCGTCAACAAATTAAACAACAAAGGAACAAATATTTTACACTTTTCATTCACTACATATTACACCGTCCTGCTAATAGGGTCTCCAGAGACTCACTTTTCATACAGAGGAGCAACCCTGTCAAGGAAAGAGCTCGTGAACACTCATTGCTGGCCCACCGACTCACACACTACTGTAGTGTAACTACAGAGAGAATCCGACTAGACCAGACAGGGTGGGCAGGCGGTCGCGGTTGCCGATGGAATTACCCGCTGCTGCAACATTCAATGAGGAGGGGAGCGGCTCTGTTTCCGTCCATCAGGGAGAAACCCGGCGTACTAGCTAGAAGCCAAAGTGTCTCGTGCGTGTCGACACGGCAGCCACAGCTGATGCTCACTGCTAAGATTTACAAAAATCTGCCACCATCACCACTCAAACAACGACGACAACATGTAACAACCATGTGAAACTAAGCGCCAGGTTCAATGTAAATATTTGGTGTGCTGGTCGAGAGCAGACGAAAAACAGCGATATTGTGAATGAGTGTGCTATGTTTATATTAGGTGTTCAGAGCGTGTTTGTGTATATACACGGTATATTCGAGACAGAAAAGACCAGGCCGGAACCGTGATTAACGCCTGCTGGAAAGACTGCATGTAAGTTGTCTCATGCAGCCAACATGCTGTTACTTGGTAAGTAGTTTATATGTTAAGTAACATAATGCTCGTAAGGATGACGAGTTGGGGATGTCTGCTGTATGTTGATGCATCCAATTGAACGACGATATATAAAAAAGTAAATCTTATGAGAACAGTGGCGGCTGCCAACACTATCGGTCTATGACCCTCTCAGATGGCGCCCTCGCTACTCAAGAAGCTGTCAATGAGATCAGCCCAGTAGACACAGGAAGATGTTCTATGAAAGTTGAACATCGCTATTTGGGTTGGAATAAATCAACTTATACGAATTAAGTTATGTTTATATAAGTGCGTGCAGGTGCGTAATAAGCCTTTTAATAAATAGATTGGCTAGAATTGAAATATCCTTATTTATAACTACATTGGAAAACAAATTATTGAATCTTTTCAATGAGTTTATAGTGTGAGCGCGCATAGTAAGTGGCCTGTACTGTATAACGTAGGCCTGTACAGCAAACTGAAGTTTTAAATTTATAAGGCTCACAATAATAATCAACACTTAAACGATGCGTCGTGAGGTCCGTTGATATCTGTCGCTTTATTCAAACGGAGAATAGTGCGTGCTAGCTAGTACAAGTGAGTGGCACTCGCTTGTACATTTGTCCGAAATCTTCGAAGAGGTAGGGGAGTAACTTCTTTTAGAAGGTAAGCTTATTGAACCAATTTTTGGTTTTACAGACAGACATTTACTACGCAGGAGACGAGTGCCACTAGAAGTAATGAACGAGAGTAATTTGCCCCAGATATTGAATAGGGCGCTCTAATAGTTTACAGTTTTGTATGTGTAACACAGTGACGACGTAATTTTTTTGGAAAGTGTAAATCACGTTGAACAATTTGATGGCTGCTTTGCGAAAAACTTGGATAATGTCCATTAACGGTGGCCATCATAAAAACATTCCTATGATAGGTGATAAAAGCAATGACAAAGGAAAGTAACCAATATTGCTGATCTTGTCTCCAGCCTTTAGGCTAAGATTCGACACATTAATGATCGAGATGAACAAGTACATTTTAGATTCCGCTGCAGTATAGTCATGTTTATTTCGCAAAAATAAGCAATATTAGAATCCTAGATGTTTTAAGTAAGATCTTTGCAGCTTCCTTTTCACATATGGCACATCGTCATGGTTCTTTAAAATAAAAACTCTGTATAATCAAGCGAGCTTACGACGTGTGATGTACTTTAGAATTAAAAACGATTTAGATTTGCCCCTACCATTTGCTACTCTGTAACGGATTTGTCACACTTATCGATGACAAGCACATGAAAGATACAAACGTATTCCACTATGTTTTAAACGAATCATCCGACTGTTTAAACTAATTTATACATTTAATAAGACGAGTTGTCGAAGTGTTTTATTTCTTATTTATCAAATTTAAGCACGATTGCAAGTTCTATCCAATATTCCTGTTCCGTTCTTCCTATATTTTTTCATTTATTCATTATCCATATAAAACTTAAAAGAATTATTTGAGGTTTTTAGTTGGAAGAAAGGTTTTCATCTATATAATTTTGAGCCTTCCATTCTAACAGTCTAGATAAATGCCAGAGAAATAAGATTTTAATTTTAATGAAATTGACCCCTCTGAAAACCAACAAATTTAGTTCTTCGAAATCTATAAGCAAGCTTCAAGTTTTATTGTATCATAAAAGGAGCTCCCAATGAGCTACCCTCATTATATATAAACTATAATTGAAATAGGTTGCATAAAAATTAAACGCGTCCGCTTTGTGCCTTATTCACTTTGACCGTACTTTTTCTCATAGTATCACAATGTTTAACAGTTACAATCTTTGAACATCGCTAGGGTATAAGTTAATAGGCGCAAATGATGCAATGTAAATTCCTTTCATGCTCTACGCGATTTCGCATGATAATAGCCTTTATTATCAATGACAATATATAATAATCGTATGTACCATTCTATGGAAGCTTATGGTAACGAAGGCATCTATTTATTTTTTCGAATGAATAGTAAGAATTAATAGTATACGTGTTCGAAGTCGCAAAGATGGGTAAGAAGGATGTGGTAAAAGTCGCGGTGGAGATGAAAGATAAGCCAACACAACTCATCGAACTGGATCAAACTAGACCCCTCGAGTGTATTATACAGGTGCGTGTTCGTGATCTTTACTATTAAAGTTCATTTACGAAAATAATTATAAAAAACAATAGGATTGTTTAATGTAGTATGCCACTTAGTCACTAAAAGTCAGGAGCGATTTATATAATAGTTAATAATTATGTAGAAGCAATACATTTCTATGAAGTCTATCTAATATCCATGCTCGCTGTGTTTATCCTAAATGTGACAATCTACAGTTTATGTATTAATAATTATCATTATCTTGGCCTTTCCTACAAATAGGAACTATGCGGAATATGGTGCTTGAACGACCCAGGGGACAGCTATGCGCTCGAGTTCTCTGAACCTGCAGAGCCCTCATACATTACCGAAAAAAATCGTGGCAATATTAAAAATGGATACTTTCTCAAGTTGACTGCCAGCCCTGCAAGAAGAACTCAGCGCATACTCGATAACTTAACTACAAATGGCAATAATTGCCCTGTTGAGGTATTACAGATGCACAGCTCCATGTGACTAGATTTACCCGATAAGTTACATCCGAGTTTTATTATCTTTATATAATTAAGTATAGAAGATATTGACTTAACGGGATCTACAAATTATATCAACTTGTATAGAAAAAGCTTGGGACACTGAGTTATAGCTATATCCCCTAATATCTTCAACAGATCTTTGTGTAATATATATATATATATATATATATATATATATATATATATACATATATATCAATTATTGTGCATAGTGGCAATACGTTTGAATGCAATGTGTTATTCTAGTTAGTTAATAAATGTATATTTCTTCTTTTGCTGGCTGGTCTGCTTGTTTTAGGTTCTCAAGGAACTTCACAGATTGTCCCTAGACAAGACGTTCGCGCTAGAATTCATCAACCGTCAAGGCCACCAGACCCTTTTGCGCAGCGTACAGGATGGTGTCTACACTGGTGAACGCCTAGCGTATGTCCTGTTGAGCTTCGTGGAGCTCATGGATCATAATATTGTCTCGTGGGATGTTGTCGAACCCAAATTTATTGGACGCGTGGCTAACAACGTTAATCAAACGTCTGCCATAGATTTTCGCATCCTTCAGGTTTGTTTCACAAAATGTTTGCCATGGCTGGGAAATAAATTTGCATGATTAAAGCCGTACGCTTCTAATAGTTACAACCTATCTAAAGTAACTAAAGTAACGTGAAGTCACTTTCCAAATGTTTATAGTACAGTGGAAGATAATTCTCATGCTTAATTTTTTTATGTTTTTGTGAGCTTCTTGAATTCCTTCCACAAATCAAGTCAGTTTAACTAGAATTAACACTTGAATTATCTTGATCATCATTACGATCTGGGGCTTGTTTAGGCCTCTCTCTCGATTCTAGAATCCGTTGTTTTGAACTCGTCATCGCGCTATCATTTGGTAGATCAACAGGTGACAATACCACATCTAATAGTACACATCCAAAGCGGCAGCAGCGGTATACAACAAAGTGCAATCGCATTCATTAACGCGCTCTGCCTAAAAGCCGAGTTTTCCAAACGAAAAGCTCTGCATGCAACCCTTGCCTCGAAGCAAATACGAAAGGTAAGCTGAAATGTTCCCTAGTGAAGAAACTGAATATGTGAAAATCGGATTTTATGATCATCATTAGATTACCTATGCTAATTGTATAGTTGATGTGTTAAACTCATATGATCGCTTCAAGAAAAAAGAGTAGTATCTCCCAAGTCCCCATAAGGTACATAAAATAAGCACGGTCTATCGATATTCTGCTACCGTTTCTTCTAACCTTTATCGTGCTCCTATATTAGTTACAGTATTAATTATTTTCAGCTTTTATCTTTAGCTATTGTGTACAACTACAAAAGTAATAATCGTTTTGTCAAAACAGAACAGATCATATTCCATGAAATTAATTCATTGTTATTATGAACTATAGTATTTCTTAGCATTTTTGCGATATCATTGCTTTACGTTCCCCAGGTGATCCAAGCAAATATTCTATCGAAAGGACAGCATGTGATCAGCAAGGAAGGTCGTGAGATGGTTCATCAGCTCTATGTTCTACAAACGTTGTTGTTCAATACTCAGGACGAGCGGAAGAGGCACGACCTAGACCCAAACGACTCTGACGCCAGACTAAAATTGGTAAATATTTTATCGAAGGTTCAATGAAATAAGGCAGTCCAAAGGTTTTTAAATAATAAAATCATAAAATTTGACGGATGGTTTTTGACAAAATGATTTCCGTGTTCGGTCCACTTTTGGTAATTTGTTGCTGATCTAAACGGTCTTCTCCATTGAGGTGAGCCAAAATAGTGTTGTAAGACACACTAATTTTGTGTCGTCTTCAATATTTTGAGTCAATATGAAGAATTAAATCTTTAGTTTGAGCAGTTCGCAAATAGAACTGTTAGTTTCATTTTGCTACCATGCTTGTTTATCCTTGCAGGAGGAGCTCCGCCGAATTGCATTCGGCCCCACGGAAGGCTCCGGATCTAACAAGAGCTCAGCTGCCAAATGCTTCCGAAAGTTAGGATTTCAATCAGCATCGAATCCTATCGAAGATCTATTACCGGCACCGGGAGCGCTTGCGCTCGACAACATGGTTTACTTCGCTAAGTACCACACCGATCAGTATATAAAGTTTGTCCTTGAAAATTCAATCAGGTAAGAGTCGGTACCCGATACTGCTCTTTAATTTGAAGGTTCTCTATGGTACATTTAGCAAAAAACAGTCTGTTTCCTAAATCGCCGTTATGCATAATATTTTACACATATATTTTGAGTTCGCGGGATATGTGCGTTTTCATTAGGGCTACGAATGTTCCCTGCCTATTCATGCATCAATCTTTCATATATCTTAATAGTCTATTGTTCTTGTTTGAGCAGAGGCGATGAACATGAAGTCCCATTCGCTCGCGCATCGGTGCGGCTCGTGAGACTTTTGGCCGACGACATATTACACATAGGTGATCCGCCTCGAGATCAAGGAGGCTCTTTTCATGCCATGTTCTTCTCGCACGCCCATGCGTTTGAGGAATTTTTCTGTGTCTGTATTCAGCTGCTGAACAAAACGTGGAAGGAGATGCGAGCTACAGCTGAAGATTTTGCCAAAGTGATGCAAGTGGTTCAAGATCAAATCGAACGCGCGATGGAGGCACCAGATGGCACGACACCAAGTTAGTATTAGTGACACACTTGATCAGTATTCACTTAAAATCCTTAATACAACAAAGTTTTATCCCCCAAAATGACTATAAGTGATATTCCCGAACCCGTCTGATCTATGGAGAAAACATTTGGTGAAGGACGGGCCAGCTTCATAAATAGCTGCTTCTCTATAGTGGTTTCTATTACCATCGGTAAATACTGAACGGATTCTTGTGTAGTCCGTTTTGAGCAAACGTTCCAGCGTCACTTTTGGCTGCGGAAAGCTGCACTGGACATTTACTATATGAATCGGTCTTGATTTTAATCAACGATATATATATATATATATATATATATATATATATATATATATATATATAATAAGATATAGGATTGAAACCGTGCTTCTTCCTATATTGTTGAACTTCACGTTACAGAACTCCAAACCAAGCAAGCCCAATGAAAGAATCTTTAGGGGAAGTTCCCGTTTTTGTTTCATATACGGCCCAAACTAATCACATTGTATGGCTATGGCTGTGTATATTTGCCTTTTTTGTTACAGATGATTTTGAGAAATTAAAATCAAAACTAGCAACACTTCCCTACTCGGAAATAATGAATATATGGAACGAAGAAAGGAGTAACAAAGAAGAATGTGAAACTAAAGCGATTCCAATAGTGCAGCTTCGGGAGATGCTTATTCCGGAGTTGGTTAGCCTAATTCAGCAACACCGACTACAACAGCTTACAGACGGGACTTTGTTCACCAAATATGCTGCCAAAGGGCAACGCATTAAGGACAAGTTCTGGTATTGTCGACTCTCGCCAAATTTCAAAGTATTTCATTATGGCGACTGGGATGAAAAGTCTGCACCGCCAAGTGAGTAGATCCAAGCTAACACAAATCAAATTATGGATTGGATTTAACCCAATATTAATATTATGTTTTCTTTTGTCCATAAAGGTACGTCTATAAGAAGTTAGTTTTTCTTACCCACAGATATTAAAAACTTTTTTATCATTGTTGGAAAGGGTATTCTTACACCGTACCTAGGAATGTAAATCGGAGTATTCTTTTTTGGACATTATTGGAACGTCTTATTCCAGTGCGAATCAGTGCCCCTTACTTACATTGACAGGTTGTGATTGTCATTATTTCATGGGTAATACGATTAATAAGTAGTCCTGTAAGTTTCTAAGGTGAAAAATTCGTGCGTTCAATTGAGCGAGGTATATCAACAAAATTACTACCTTTGCGATGTTTGTCAGGTGTGGATGAGCTACCCCACAAATTGCTGGTCGCTGATATCGGATGCTTGAAGACCGGTCGAGATTGTCCGCACATGAAGGACTCTCGCAAAACAAAAACTGCTGCACCACTGGCCTTTTCACTTGTCCCCCAACAGACCGAACAAGAGTCGCTCAATTTCGTTGCGCCTACAGAAAAGGTGAAAATAACTTATGCCAATAATAGCTTGTTCGATATCAATATGTCTTAACAAACTATCGATTTAGGAGTACAGCGATTAAAGAACACACACGCAAATATTGCATGAGAAGAAACAGTAAATAGAGTAAGAATAATAACCCTGTCTCATTGTACATTCGTGAAGTCTTCGTGTCATAGTTATTCGTCAGTAGTTTTTTTGCTTTTGTAGGTTATCTTCCTTAAGGATTTTCTCATTTCTCTCATTAATTTATATGAAACCTTAGGCGGATTGTAAATTACTAAATAAACGTTTGAACTTGAGTTTTACAGCGTTAATTAACGCGCTGGCTAAGGACGCGTTCTAACGTGGTAAACATTTTCAATTATATTCCTTCCATGTGTCACCGTACAGCTGTTTCACTACTGGACGGACGGTATCCTCGCATTATTAGGTGAAAGCATGACCTCTCGCGAAAGTGTGCAGGACCTCGAAATGCTTCTCCACGTCGAAATGAAACTTCATCTGTTAGACACGGAGGGCGTTCAGATTCCTGACAAGCCACCGCCGCTGCCAGTAGATCCTCCCAATTATGATTTTAACGCGCCCATTATTTACCAAACCCAACCCAAGTGGCAGTTGTAGTAACTGTCGGACGCCACGTTTTCTATCACTGAGTGCTAATCACGACCAAAGGGTTGCGCCTGGGAGAATGAACAGTCGTGCTAGAACAGACGCCACAGTGAATTGTGCCGTCTTCTACTGCCGATAAAGCGAAAGCAGGCAACTTGTAAGAACCATTTGACAAAACAGGCTTCTGCCAAGAATTATATTATGATCAATTATCAAATATATAATTATTTAGATTTTGTTACTAAAAATATTTTCCAAATATAGAACAGAATAGTTATCCTGCGTTAAGTGATTTCCTAATCTATGCATTTCGTGGTGTTCACAACATAATTTAGGTTATCAATCTGTGTTCAACAGGCCGTTAGGAAGGAGTAGGAAAGGAATTGACCTGATTTAGTTATTAGTTAGGTTTAAACCAATGAACAAAATCACAATATAAAACAACACAAAAATTACACTTTATGGGTGTACAAGTTCGGTGTGGTAGAACTAAGTAAAAAAGCCTTTAACATTATAAGTCTGTGTTGGCTAGTGATACCAAATTATAACAAGGCGAATACAATTTAAATAAATTTACTAGATCCATATGCAAGTAAGGTTCTTGTGAAGTGGACATTATTTGGACGCCAGACAGTAAACAATACCCATTCGTTAGATTTATTTTCCACGCGGCTTATTTCCATTGCGCGATCGAGATCAAACCATATTGTAGCTTATAACGGTGAGTTAGCTTAAGGCAACCATATTGGATGGGCGTTTACACGGTAAAGTGGTTCACATGGATGCATGGTTGCTGGCAGTTATGTATATACGATTGAGATTTTTAAGGCAATGTACTAGGTTTTTTTGTTGAGGCCTACAAAACGAACGCAGACGCAAAACTACTGCAGAGTAAATAGCTATGTAACACTACCCCAGGGTCTAAAGCTTCAAATAAGAAAAAAACACGCCAAAATCTACGAGAAATTTCAAGAATGATCGATTCTAGCGTTTTAGCTGGAGGTAAATATATTGATGCTCACCGTTCAATTTAGTTCAAATAACATGAAGAAATTACATATGTGTTTATTTTAAATTACGAAAGTTATTTCATTTATTTGCACATAGGTGTTTAGGCATTCAGTGATTTTATCAGTGAAGCAGATGCTTGTATAAAACTTTAATTATACATTTTGAGAAAATTTTATGAAGGCCAGTCGTAATAATATCAATTTATATCATTATCTTGTCCTTATATATGAAGACACATATTTTGTTTACTGTCGAGGTTTAAGTAGACACCCAATTGATCAGATTACCTAGCTTATCGGAGGAGCTAATTCGCTTACATAGGAGCCGATGTTGACATATAACGAAAATGGATATCTTAAAAAATATATTTAAGCTATAGTGAGCTTGACATATGCTGGGCATGTACGTCACCTTTTGTCAACAGTATTATATATTTTTATTTATAAGTAAAACAAAGAATCGCTTCGCTAAGCCAACATGCTAGTATTGCTATTATTTATTCCAACAGAAAATAAAAAATATAACACGAAAATGCGAACAACAAAAACAGTTATTTATTGCGAGACTCTCCTGCTACCTTTTGAGTATATATAACTACTTTCAACTGCTTTCATAACAGGGAAGTAGCCAATTTGCAATTTAATTTGCTGATCGACTTTTGAATCAGTTGTTAGGGCACTAAACAACTGGAGTGTTGCATGGTAGATGATTTGTCTTTTAAGTATCATTACTATTTTGATAATTATATTGCAGTTTTTCCCTTGGTAGGTGTGTGCTGCACATTTACATAGATGGATGCAAGAATTTGCAAACATATTTTATTAGCTATGCGGCTGTATAGCCTATATACTGATTATACACAACAAAGTGGCCGCTTGTTGTACAACAGTACGCGAGTCGTTCCCCCTATTACAACGTTAAGGATACCTAGTAACAAAGCGTATCATTATGAGGCCCTCTTGCCTACGACACACAACAGCATTCCAAAAAGATGGGAACTTCATAGATGTGTTGCTTAAATTTTATTAATAAAACTGCTTTCCAAGAGGCATCGATTTGTCTCTTCTATATTAACAACAATTGTTTTCCACCCTGTCATGCCTAGTGCAAGTACTTTTCTCGGCTTATTCTCCACGTTTCCCCAATGTAATACTACTGATGCATTTGGACTTAACAAATGTTATTATGATGCATTGATTACTGGTCCATTCGCTACGGTCGAGCCTTTCCCGTGGCAGTCTTAAATTGCAATGGTTTAATCTCACTCCATCCGTAAGTATGTTTTCTTTACAGCCGTTGCAGCTGTATTGAAACTGAGCGACGTTGCGAGAATTATTAAGTCGTAACTGCTAGTAAGTCCGCATGCTGACAGAAGGCGTGAGCCATAAAGAAACTAAACGTATAAATGGACAGATCACGTAAGAAGATCTCGAAACATGCTGTTAATGTTTGACCAAACTGCACTGATTTCCGTGATGCGCCCATGAATAAAAGAATACTAAAAGCAATTGACATTCGGGACCTGTTAAGCGGCACAGAATAAAAAATACACAATGAAATCGACAGAAGTTCCAAAAGGTAGAGAGGTGCAAACATGATCTGTAAAAGCAAAACGGACAAATTTTCTTATTAATGCTACTGCTGCCCGACAATATATTACTACACACAATTTATGAACCTCAAGCTGGTTCCTCCCTTACACACGACAAGATTTTGTTTTAACCTACTCTTGTTTATTAACTATACTCAACATCTGATTTCTATAGATTTTTCGAACTTGAAGTTTTGTCAAAATTTTACCAGCTAGAATATTACACCACCTTCACCATCATCGAATTTCTTTAGTCATGAATGCCACACCTGTTGTATCTTTTAGCCCACGAATGTATTCTTTTAAAAACAACGATTTTGTTAACTGACATCCCTGTTGCGCGGGGATGTTTTCCGCTACAATCAAGATACTTACCGCATAGTCTGCTGGTAAAACAGGTAACACGAATCTTGCCAGAACAGCCAAAACTGAAATGAACAAAGTCCTACGAAGATGGCAAGGATCCCACAGAACTTGATAACGTCTGCGAGCAATCTCACCGGCACTCTGTCGATCTGTTGCTGTACCACGACCCCCTATAGCCCTGTTCATATTTTGATCGGCTTCTGGAAGACCCAACCGACCCGCTAGGTTCGCTAACGTAACGAGAGGAGCCTCATCGTTATCCGTCAGATTAGAAAGTAGTTGTGCTAAAGGAGTATTTTCAAATTCTCCATCCGGTGGTAATCTGAAATTTGCACCTGTTTGAACCTGTTCCGCAGCTAGAATGTCTGCTGTTCCGTAGATATCTCCTCCAAATAGTTGTCGCTCGTCTGACGGTATGTCTGTAAAGTCCATGTTCGTGATCGGACTGTAATTTGACTGAACACGATCGACGCGATCGTTGGCTGGGGGAGAACCGATAATCAAAGTTTGTTCGATTGTTTTTCCTGGCAGTTGATAAATTCTTCCGTTATGCCCAGGACTGACTTCGGAGGTCTCAATGGTGTTAGACGACTTTCGACTAATAGCGTTCAACTGTGGGTTTAGTAGATTGTCGGCATCGGTAGATGTAACATTCGCAACAATCGCGATTGGAGGCTGTTCAGGTTGATCTGGCGCCAGAAAAGGTTTGTCATGGGAAACCCGATCTTCTAGAATTCAAGCGTACAAAAAAAGTAAGGACGTTATTCATCCTGTAAAGGTAAGCGTTTGTATACGATATGTTTGCTCTACGCATCACGCGACACAGAGCGCGTTGCGACGAACAAGACGACAGAGAACGCCCCTCGGCCATCTAAACCAATAGAATTGCTCTTGCTTTTTTGCTAAAATCCGCAAACTGAATTTAGATTATGATATCACAGCCTTAAAAGAAACACTGGATAGTATAAACTATATCCTAAGAGCACGCGGCAATTTATATAAAGTCTGTTAAGACTTTGTATTCCAAACGGTCTTCTAGTATCGATTCATTACAAGCCTTGTGAGTCTCGATTGCCGAAATGCCAGTATATACGACGATCTTTGATTTTTACATGTCCGGAAATAACCAGGTTTAATATTTAATGTTCAATGCTTGCTCTCACAGTGCTGAAATTTGCTTCCACTGTAAATCCAACAGCGAGAGTTACTCGATAACCTTAACGGAGGTGCCACAACCTAATGTAAACTAGCAAAATTTACTAACATAACAGAGCTTGTAGGCTTTGGATTTTTTGAATTAAAGGATCTTTACATTACTTAGTTGTTTAAAATAAAGCCGTTTCAATTGAACATAACTCAGTCTATAAATATCTCGTGCTACACATACCATTCACATGCCACATGTTCATCCGGTTTTAACCTAAATCGCATGTGCATACTTCATATATGCTGCTGGTAGTTTATGATAGCTCTGAATGGAGTTGTTCGGCGCGATCAGAGATGATCGAAACGCGAAGTGAAGTGTTCTAAACGACTAGTGGACACTGGCGAAACAAACTATAAGATACCCGCGATAGTTTTGTGAGACATATTGTACGATACTTCGCCGGTTCGCGTTGTTCTTCTGATCACTCACCTCCATTACTGAGTATAAGCTGGAGACGACTCTCTGAATTGGCGAGAATTCGTTGGCGGCGCAGTTCGCGCCGTCTTGCCGCTTCGTCAGCCATCGGCGTTGGTGGCAGCTTATGATTTTGCGCTTGCACCATAAACAATACAACTAAACGAATAGTAATAGTGCAGCCTTTAATATCAGTAATATAATGCTGCAATGTCAGCAGCTAACTCAATAAGTATTGACCAAATACGAGATATGGCCGTCGCCAGATCACAATTCAGGGTTCGTACCGCAGAAAGAATTGTTTGAGCTTGTTTAACGGAAAGATGCAGCTCCTTAATCTTTCGTTAGTTGAGTAATTTTGAATAAGAATCCATCTTGCTGCCGTCGTTTCCTTGTGTTCCGCACCGAATTAAAACATTTAATATAACATTCCCTCCTTCTGTAGCCACGATTCGATGTACACTTCACTTTAGGAACATTGCTTCACTAACAAATTAGTCGTTCTTAGCGAGATCGAAAGTGCACATCTAAGCTCGGTATGTTTCCGCTATCATCCATCAATGATAGTAATGATGTCTTTTTAAATAGATTCGGCAGCGCTACAGTCATTCACTGGGCAGACCAAGTCGTAGATGTAGCAGGCAAGCGGACATACGGTAAAATACGTTAAAAGCAGCGCAATGACAGAACGTTTTTCGGGATGGGGAGCGGCCGTCGAACTCACATCGCAGTAGAACACAATATAGACAAATGACGTCAGTCCCTTGCGCTCACTGTATTTTTGTATATATCTGCATTGCCCGCCTGCTGTCTATTGTGTCTCAGTTACGGTGTCTAAAAATAGCCTGTTTGTATATACCTGTTCACTTGTTCAACTGTATGTGCGTGTCTATGTCCGTCGGCTATAGTAAGGATTCACAGCAAAAATCGCACAGAGACTAAATGAGCCATTTGATGGCCATCGAGCTGCTAGACGTACTTCCTAATGTTTATTTTCAGCTGATGTTGAGCAGACGCTTGGCACGTTGCATCTGTGTTTGTCCCCGCTTGATGAAAGTCTGCATCTACCCTTCCATCGAGTAAGAGATTTAGTCTGCGGAGTGAGAGTACTGTGGAACAAAAATACATATATACTTCTCTTTGGGTGGGGCAAATGCTGCAACCAACGTCCCGGAGGCGGGGAATTCGTGTTTTATTATCGGGTTTCACTTGTGGATATGCTTAGTTAATCACTTTAGTTTTTAGTTGCTTAGTCGTATAACATGTTAGGCTAATGATATAACGTGGGCTATTATTTAATGCTGTGAAATGATGAGTTTTTATGTATTACAATCAACAATCGTTTTTTTTTTATTACATAGGTAACACACCCAAGTGCTACATATTATCAAAGATAAAATTAGTGCATGCCAATATTTACTCTTAATTAAATCCACTTGAGATTAGAATATTCATACAATAGATACTTTTCATGCTGAAACAACATCAATTTCTTTCGGTATGGACAACATTTAGTTCTCACGCAGAGTCAGCAACGCTTTAGGTCAACAACGCTTTAAGATACGAGGTGGAAAGTGTTTCTGCGGTTATGCTACCTGAGATACTTTTCTCTTTTACACAAGTGAGATTTTTCATATAATTTCTATATGGTCTCATTTTGCACTTACGCACAATAGTTGGCTGGGGTTCACATGGTTATACACGTACACACACACACATATATATATATATATATATATAATATATGTGTGTGTATAATAATAAAACTCACTTATTGTCGAAGAACACTGTAGATAAGAAGTGCTTTTAACTATTAACCCTCAGTTGATTTTTTAGTAGAGGCTTCAAAGTAAACATTTGCTAAGGCGTCGGTTTTAATTTAAAATTAGTTCATTATTTTCTTTAAAACAGTAAAGCATCATGTTCCCAACATGATAACTTGTTTTTATCCTACTTACTGTTTAACAGCTTCAGGGAGGTCGCTATCCAACTACTAGTATACAATCGCCGTAGATTTTGGTTGACTTTTGCGTACTGTTATTTTTTAATTTACCACATTTCGAGAACACATTTCAGTTGATACTACATTAGAAAAGTTTTCTTTGAATCTACCATGGTCCCTTTAGTTATAAAATTATTTTGGTGTAACAGCACGTGCTTTAAAGCTCGACTTTCGGCATGGTCGCCCCATCAACGCACTCTGATCAGATAGAGTTCTCTTTTTTCGATGCAGAATTGAATAACTTAGTGCAATTTTGTTACATTAGCTATGTACATAAAAAAATCAATCTCACTGTTTACGAACTCGAACTATTTAGTTCGCGCTTTCTGATTTTCGTCCTTAGAGGCCGATTTACCATTAGCTGTCGAGTCACGTAGCTTTCATGTGTTGAGCTGTGTGTGCTTTATATTGACTTTGCTGAGGAAGTATCGTCGGTTGCCATGTAAGTTGTGTACAGGGAATTACTTTCTGTTTTCCGTCCCTTGGAATCTTCACGAAGTCCTCCGAAAACAAGTATTTCGTACGGAGTTGCTAGGAGAGTGTATCCAGTGAGAACGCCACGAATCGCACAGGCACGGCTTGGCCTTAGCCATGTCAGTTGCCTATGATCAACCGCTTGGCTAAGATCAAGCATATGGAGGCTTGAAAATTTCTTGCGGCCATCTCTGTGACGGCAACAACGGTTTCCAACCTGACAGGAAGCATTTTCCGCTGGTGCCAGGCATACTGCAAGCCTGCCCATTCTAACGAGTTTTGATAAATGTTCAGCTTTTTTTGGCGCATGTTCCTCGTTGAACACCGAAAGCCGGGTCCATTTAAAGAAAACACCTATCTCCAGAAGCCAGGCTTCTTCTCCATGCCAGGTCGCCCCAATGTAAACAAGTTGATTTTCCGAGATCTTAATCTGGCACAGTGTTTCGAGTTCAATCGGTTGATCTCGGCAGATAGCAGTTTCCGAAGTCCATGTCAAAGACTCAAGGTCGAGGCAATGGATATCAGACATACCCGACGATGACTTCTTCGGATTGTAGTGGACGAGAACTGCCTGGGTCCCCATTACTGTAGGATTTGTGAGGAATCTGCACGGTGGTTTCGCTTTCTCGGTGATGCATGTCACCTGGTTTTTCTCTGTATCATAAAGTAACACGGAGCTGTCTGATTTGTCTTGATCCTGATCACTTTCATGGTCCCAACTAGGTCCAAGAAAGACAACAATTTTGTTTTCGAACTTGAAGAGCGCCTTTGCGTAAAGCTCCTGGGGCGCGAACGACAGTTTTGTCCATTTGCGCTCGACGAGGTCAAAGCTCCAGAAAATTTGATTTGATACGATGAACATTCGTTGGCCACAGATTGCTCCTCGATGATGCGCACAGCTCGGTGGGACAAGTTGCTCTGAAAATCGCCTATATTTCCAAAAATTGATGCGATCATTGCGAAATGAAACCTCGAAATTGCGACTTCTGTACTTGATTATATTACGGGTAGCTTGGCAGAACTTTTTAGAAACATAAATTGTATGAGGATAGTCCTCATAAGGATTCAAGTAGAAAAGAATTTTCTCAATAATTTCCAGCGGCAGCTTATCCATGGCTTATCCACTAAATACAGATTTTTGCACAAACTACTCAGTTATTTGTGTTTCGTGCTTTGGAAAGAAGAGACTTTCTTTTCGCACCAATGCCTTCACTTTGTGTAGCCTACATACACAAAAAATTCACACAGCAGTGTGGCACTGGTTAAGCTCTAGCGCCTGATTATCTTGCCACAGGTGCTTCGCTACGGTAGAGTTCAATTCGATGTTAGAATGTTCTCTATTCTTGTCGAAGACCGTACGTTCACGTCAAGTATACGAACGACCTGTGTTTCGAGCGAAGCATAGTGAGCATCGAGTGACGTTATGTCGATATGAACATTGAACTGGAACAACGACGACGACGCAGCCTTATTGGATTTTTTTCTACTCCAACATAGCTGGCACAGCCAGTGTAGTTGTAGCCACTTCGATGTGTACGAACTTTATCTCCGACTGGTCCGATTCTCACTGTGGCCGATGGCCCAATAGCGATGACTGGAGTCACCGAGTCGGCCAAAATGTACGTGGGCTGTGGCCTGACCCTTGCCAGCAGCTAGCTTGCTATTCAGAAGACAGTAAACGGTCAAGTATAATAAGACGACTGAAGTGAACTGAATTCTCAATGTATCAGCAGCTTTGTCAATCGGATGTTCGCATCTGTGGTGAGGTCGAATCAGATCTATGTTACACTAACTTCAGTATAGCATGCAACAAAGTAGTATTAGCGGCTGAGAAGTCTCTTTGCTAGTAAGCAACGATAAACTGCCAATATAGTAGTCTCGTCCAGATTTTCAGTTCACGTGTGAGAGGGGGCACTTAGCATGTGGACGTGGCAAACGAGCCGAAGCGATTCCCTTATGAGAGATGCGATAAACGTGAAGTCCAATTTTAGTGACCGCGTTATTTAGAAAATCGAAAATGTTACTACTGATAAACACATTTTTCTCCTCGAATCGTCGATATAATGTTCCTTACCACACTATCTAGCAGTATTTTGAACTAGTCTAATACAATGATCAACGTAGAATTGTTCCGGCCCTGTCTGGGATGACTTATCGCTTTCTTGATTATTAATTAGCCGTTGAAGATAAAGGTTTCGGTCGTTTTGAAAGAAAGCCAGCCAGCATGGAATTTCATCTGTTCGATACTAGCGTTGCGGTACATATGTTCCTAGCATGTTCAGTTATGTACTAGTAATATTTGAGAGCTGTAGAGATAATCTAAATTCAAGGTATAATGAAAAAACCTGTTCCTATAAATTATTATGTATTAACTTCAGTATCCAAACGCAGTCAAGAACTGTGCTAACCTGTAACAATGGTATTGTAGCCAGATATTGTGTCATATCTCTCTGCAAGATTTCACGAGGTAAGTCTAGCGGACATTATTGACAGGTGCTCGTGAATTGCTGAAAGCCTCGTCGAAGGCATTTTTCAAGGGTTCTTGCATTTACAAGCTAAATAGCATCGCTAGGATGAAGCGTCATCAATTTAATAGATAGATTAACGAAAAGCTGTCCTCCCGTTACTCGCAAAGTTAAAACACTTCTCACTGAACACTAACGATTTAAAAGTAAAAATCAAAATTTTAAAAAAATCAAAAAGAATACCAAACTCGTTCCTTACTGGTTTTTGTAAACATCGCACTCAAAAAAATAATGGATTATTTAACTCAGATGCGAGTATACTTATCCTTACGTGCATCACTATAAGCATATCTCTTTAGTCCTGAAAAACGCCAATAATTTTACAGATTCGATGCCCTGTAAATTGTCCGTTAAGATCAACTCAGTGTTATAAAACTAGATGCTAATTGATGGGGTCTTGCTATTTGCGAGTCGTGTCGGCATGCACCCTTTCTGCTATGCCCTTTAGCCGCTGTGTGCCGCAGATCCCCATGGGAGTACCTATCGGCAACTGGGTACGAAATGCCCCAATCTTATGAGGCTTCTTTATAATTCGTCTATTTGTCTTGAGGGCGACGTTAAGGAAAGGGGTAGGCAAAGTACCAAAAAATACTTGAAATGCATTGAATTTCAGGCCATACATGGTCAAGTAAGTGTTTTTCAAGCTTTAGTAGTTGGCTTGAAACCAGAAAAACAGGCCGGAAAAACTACTGTATATGCTTCTAGAGAAATAAAAAGAGCACATGTTTCACAAGAAATCTATAAGGCTTTAAGTCTGTTGCTTTTTAAGATTTAACTTTCGTATGTGAGTGCAATTTTTTCGTAGTAAAGCTATTTTGATATGTTTTGAAAAAATGAGTGGTACCTTAATTACTTTTTTGGCAAGCAACGAGACGCGTGCATATCTCATCGTAAAATGATTGAAAAGCTGTACATAGGCTGACTGAGAAGTGTCTAGTTTATCACAGAAAAAAGTACCCTTTGTGGCAAAAACCGTTTTATTTTCTCTCTGTGTTCTCAGCGACGCCCCCATCTCTTTAATTTATTGTCCAAATAGTAGTTAAGACGTGGTTGGTTTGTAAGGAACACGTTTGACGACAATCGCTGTTCTCCAAGCGAAGCAGAACAGAAGAAAGTCGCTGGTGGCCATATCTGGTGAATACGGCGGATGAACAACCAACCCACCCAAACCCCGATTCGTGGATTTTTTTCGTGGCAATTACTGCTGCGGACAAACGCGACGCTCAATACGCAGGTAGATTGCTAATGCTTAAACCTTCAGTTAATACATGACAGACATGAGATGTTTACTGCCGCCGCTATCTCTTTAGCCTTGTTCAGAAACTTTTGCTATTTTGTTGCAGTTTTTGGTCGTTCCACATACGCATCATTAAGCATGCTCGTTAAGCCAGGTCTAAATTTAGCTGCCTGCATTTCTCGTGCCCATCCCAGTTCAGTTCATATAGGCGCGTTAATTTTCAAAAAGGGGGGCTCGGCATATAATTTTTCTATGTTTACAGGTATATCGAGTGATACAAACAGCTATTAAACAACCACTGAGCATCCAACGTGACTGAAATTTTTATAAATATTTCTTAATGAATGCACAGTTATACTACGGAAATATTTTCGACGAGTAAGACCATCTTTTCGTTGAGGCTAGAAACTTTTCAGACTACGTTGCTGTAAATTAAAGGCGCGAGAAAGGGAAATGGAATAGAGTAGTTTATACAATAAGTAGCGAAGTACAGGTTGTGTTCGAAGTTGAACATTTAGTTTTTTTCCAAAAACTATGGCTAAAATACCAGTAAGTGAATACAACCTAGTGATTTATAGATTAATTAAAATGGTTATTGGATTTTATGTGAGAGAAATGCTTACTAATAACAGATATTAACAGGTATTATTGTTTATTTTCGCATTAAAAAATTAAGTCGAAGGTACACCTAAAAGTTCTTTCTAGGGCGATTCCGGCACGTTCAGTGAAGCTCAAGAAGCTTCACTATCATTCAGAAAAAGACATCAAAAATACATTCGGAGATACATTGAACTTTTGAACTTATGTCAAGTAGCGATCTCTTATAACGACTTACCTTTTTTGCCACTGCGTGCAACAGAGTCCTTTAATGTAGATTTTTCAATTGTCCGAAAAAAGGAACAGCATCTAAATACGTCGATAACGATACGTTTAAAAATAAAATACGTATCATCATATACGCCTAGTTTGCTTGTTTCTAACTTTATTTCTTGGTTTTTTCGCACTGGTTGTGTAGTATATTATGTGGAACCAGTGACCTCTAGCTTAATCCCAACTACATAATAAACAGCAGCTACAAAAAACGACACCTGAGTCTAATATAATTATGGAAGAGTATAAATCTGGTAAATGAAAAAGCAAACGATATGAGTATTAGTTTACAAAAAAAAAACCAGCGACCTTTCTAACACTCTAGTGTTAGCTCCGCATTACGTGAGCATTCGTACGCCCAACCCATTATGTGAGAACACTCATATTTTGTTATGTTTATTTTTCTGTGTTCTAGAATTAGATAGGCTTACCCAACGAGTGCTCGTTTACCATTTCGGTAGCGTTCTGGACGATGTGTGTATGTTATAATAAAAGATTCAACTGAATAAGTACAGTACAATTCGTGTTGTCTATGGGGATGTTGCCCGAACTTTGGTGCTTTCTACATGTATGCACACTTTGTTTGGTTCTAACTTAAACAGCCTTTTAGGTTCATACAATTTGATACTGATAAAGATATTTACGCCAGAAGTGCGTAAGGCCAACCAACCCTGCGCCGAACTTCTACTTATTCAAGTATGGTTATCTCTTAATACGCTTAAGTTTCATTAATACAGAGCCTTCATACCCTCATCTATAATTCTATGTCTATGGAAGTAAATTTGTATCAGTTAATAATATTTAATAGCAAAATTATAGCAAGAATCATGTAGATAGCAGGCGTTGCTTCTCGTTTTAAAAGGATATCTAAGCCTAAAAAAAAAAAATCGCTACGACTCTAGCTAGAGTTTAATGTTTCCCACGCCAATTTCTTGTGAATTTTTTCTTTACAGAACTATAGTTTATTTCCCTGATCTCTTGAATATCCTTGAATTTTAGATCGCAACATGATTATATTCCCATATATATAATACTAATATTAAAATGGAAAGTAACAAAGAGTAGACAAAATCTGTAGTGCAGCATATAGCCATGACCATCATAGAATTAATACGAATCTTACCACAATTTGTCCTTTAATTACTCATAAAACTTTAATTTTCCAACGAACTCGTTCACCTATTGCTTGTCTTGCTGCAGCACGAAAAAATCGATTGATGGTAGCCATTTACCCTCATAAAGTTATGCGCATTTACTGGTGAGGACAGCTTTACTAGTATCCTACTACGTCCTGTTGGCCCGGTTTCGTTGTCTATAAAATGAAGGCATTCTTAAAACAAGCAATGATATCCCAAAGTTACATAAGATTTATCTTCTTCTGATCGCAGTTGATCATTTCATATAAATGGACCATATGCACGGATATATAACTAAGATTTAAATGGCTATATGCTTTGTTTTGCACATAATGCGAAATCAGGGCGAGTGCTTCGAATCAACAATTAAGGATTTCGCCAAGTCTGATCATATTCATATGGTAGAGGTCGTCATCACCGACTACCCCGTGACATGCATATGTCGCATATTGAAGTCCTTCAAGTGACTGAATATGACCGGACATGTGGCACGGGCATTCAAACATACGCACGTATATATATATATATATAGATCGATTCTCGTGGCTGTGCGTCTATGACGGCCAAATACGTAAAAGACATTTAAGCAGTATCAGCAACGAGTTATTGGCTCATTGCCGCAGCAATAATACTAGCACTAATAATGATCCGAATAGTGACCATCATCATGATATGGGCCCACTCCTGTGAAGGAATAGTTGGGCGAAACGTTACCATCG